AACTTGATATGCCAGATAACAAATTTTGCTACGAAATTCCCAAGAGGATTATTGATCGTCCTGATCACATATGACCCCTATATTTAGTGTATGTGCCAAAACGGCGGAAAATTCCATCGACATGGCGCAATAATTGCTTTCACCAAATTCGTTAAAAACTGACATACGCGAGTTATTCAGCGTCCTTATCACGAATGTAGCATTCGCTTTCACGCTAGCGTCAACTAGAGCCAATCAGAAGCGGGAAGCTTCCACCTTTTTGGCACTGGTGTCGAAAACGAATTCAATATTCGTGATCAGGACGCTGAAAAACCCCCATATGCAAATTTTCTGGAAATTTGGTGAGCACAAGTGTTGCGCCATGCTGCTGGATTTAGTACCAATCAGGCACTAACACCGAAAATAAGGGCCATGTTGGTGATCACATCGAACGACAACCCCACAAGAAAAATTTTATTGGAAATTGTTTATTTTTCAAGTTTACCTGTTTCAAAAGAGTTGCGAGGGACAATGTCAGCTACCGGGTGGCTGGCATTCCGCAATCGTCCGAAACCGTTCTGGTCCGAATGCGCGGCTTTCAAAGCAGGCGCGCGGACGCGAATGGGTTAATAACGCTGATACCTCTGCAACGCAGTCCAGCCTTCCAATGCACATTGTCCCGTATAGTCACTGCAGTACCGCTACCAATCTGCACATCAAAAACCCACGAAGAAGTGATTGCTTCACTTGTAGGAGCTATAAGACACATGCACGTCCTATCTCTCGAGTTGATAATTCCTTATGATGGAGCAATGAATACCTTACCAGAACAGGAGAATGAGCATGACGCGATCGAGAATGCAGGCAATATTCCCAACGTGTGGTCGATAATCTCAGGTGTTTTTGCGTGAAGTTCTTCGGAGATACTAACATCATGAGTTTCGGCGGCTAAAAATTATGAAAACACTTCGATCAAAGAATGAATGATTCACTAGATATGCTAAAATTACCCTACCAGTCCCTCGATTTTGTCTTTTTTTTTACCCCTAAGCATATCGCGGTTATACCGCAATTTCTCCGATCTATATGTAGACATTTGTTGTGAAAAATTATGTTTTGTGAGGAATGTCGTTGTTTAGAGCCTTTGCTCAGGACTTGAGCTCTGCACGAAAGGAAATGAACCCCTTTAAGCGACTGATAAAAGTGAAGAACTCTGACACGAGACAGGGACGAAGAAAGACATTCCCGACGCACGGCTGACAAGCTTGGTGTATAAACGGATGGCAGATAATACCACAGGTGTATCATTGTCAAAATAATGGTCAGCAAAGAAAAATTATCACGAAGAACCTTTTCTTTTGCCACCATACAATAAACCTCCAAAGCTCGCCAAGCTTCTGCTGAACAATCCCAGTCAGGAAGCCATGCTCTACCCATAAGAAAAATCCCACGGAAAGAACCGTGGGAGCAAATAAGTTAAGGGTTTGCTTACCTCTGCAGTGTGATGACGTGAACTCTGTGAGTGAATCCGGACGAACTACTGAACACCCTCCATCCAACGATGGCAATTCAAAAAATCTTGAAAAAACCAGTTCATCATACTTCGAACCTAAAAATAACAAATGCGTTGCTTGAGCTGACCTAACAGGAAGAAATCTATCTCGTACAGCCAAATAATACTTCATGTACGAGGATCACCAGGAAACTTTAAGGCGTGATGGTACAAACAGTTGATAAGGGACTTTACTAATCGACTTTTGGGCTAAAACAGTTTTTCCTAGGTGCAAGGCTTTGCTGAAAGTGTTGATGCATTTATTTCAACTGGCAATAGCTAGTGCCTAACTTTCCTTGCTTTCAAAAAAAAAACCACTAACAGTCATTTGATGCTCTCAAACATTGCCTACCCCGAACATACGTGCTAGTACTCAAGCCGTCAACTCTTCCCACAAGAGTAAGTTGCCCGAAGATAGTGCCATGTTTTTTTCTTCTTCCGTACATTCAAATATTTTACATTTATTCAGGTAATTGTAATTGTATCTCTTACAGTTTTTTTTGCCTGGTAAAAGAATTAGGCCGCTCCTATCGCTGACTCGAGAACTATTTAACAAACGCCCTGATCAATTTTTTGGCCTATGAAGCCCCTGGAATTTGTGGAAAGGAAACTCTTCTCAGATGGATTTTGACCATTGAATTTCGATGCCTACGGAGATCCCATGCTAATTTTAACTGGGTGTGAGGAAGTGTCGTGTAGCATAACACATCGACCGGATTACAGGGTAATTGATTCATTAACATCTAGTAATAGTTATCACAAACAATAATCGGAAATAAAAACACTTCTGATTTTGGAATGCTTTCAACTACAACGACTGCAGCCATTAGCAGTTTACTTAATTATAATCAAACCACCATCAACACGAAGACAGCAGTTATATGACTTCAGGTGTTTTTGTACAGCAATTAGCTATTGTTATGATAAAACTTTGCAAGCCTGGAGATGAAAGTCTATTGTGGCCGCATACCTTGACAAGTGAGAGTATCACGCTCCGAGGGGCGTTCAGCAAGCACGGTCTCGTAAGATTCGTTATTAGATGACTGATTGCTAAACTCGCACGTGGTGAAGTAAATCACCGTCTCCGATGCTGAAAGAATTGCTAACCGTTCTACATTTCAGATTAAGCCAGCAAACTACCGCAATACTCCCTTATAGTTAGTTCAAAAAGAAGCGCTTTCACGTAGATATTAGGTGAACATCGGCACCCTTTAGCCCCACACCGTAGAATCACATATCTCCTCGCGCAAGAAAAGTATCAGCGTCTTCAAACTGTGACCAAGTGCCGTATGCAGAAAGCCCTAGGCCGAGGATGTCCTCGAAATTACGTGTCTGTCGCCATTATGCTTGACCATGGAGAACTCGTCATCTACCGGACAGAGAACAGAGTTTTTGGAGATCTGCCTCGGCCGCGAACCACTGCATACGGTCCGGCTTAGGACCATTGAACGTTAAGCAAACACAAGGTAAGAGTTGCTATATGGAGAGCCGTAATTCTACCCTTTGACTACGATCACAAACCAAGACATTGCTTTAGATTGAGCTGGAAGACCAAGCGGAATGTAAGTCAACTGCTTGGCAATAAGAGCTCGCTATGGACAATAGATTGAATAGAGCTCACAGGCAAACACAGTACTGCAGCCGATTTGACCGTCTCGAATAATCTTTCTGCAGGACATTGCAGTGATCAGCGTTTACTCATTAGCCCTCCCTTGATGAAGTACTCAGAAGCCTTTCAAAGTAGAAGATAAACAAAAAGTTAAAAGGGCTGCTAGTAAAATAAAATATGATGCAGCCAACTCAAAACTACAAATCGGTGGAGTGCAGAGACTGTTTGACTCCCAATTGTCTTACAAGTGCTGTGCCGTGATGTGCTACCATCCACGTAAATAGACATATGAGGGCTAGAGATTCACCACTACATATATGTCAGAGTAAGTGATCCCAGGAATAGGAGCACAAGCTCAGTTTAGTCAGTTCACTTTTCAACCAATGAATTTTTTTCAATGCTACAGCAACAGGGTCGTTAGGTGTCATAATTTTCCTGTCCTAATTTTATGACAGTTCGTCATTGTGAGCCTGAACATGGCTCAAAGCTTGACTGCAAAGCTCGCATTAAGCCGATCCCGGAGGATGTAGAGATGCCAAATGCGCGTCTTTCATACTTTTGTACACCTTATGACTTTGTCGACAAAGCGTTTGTTGCGTGAGCGTCAGGAATCGCCCAGTTGGACCTTCCTTCACCCTCTCTAATACCAATCTTACTCTTCCATAAACATCAATTCTATCGCGAGTTTTGTCTTTGAAAAGTGTTCTGCATCTCACCGAACTTGACCCTCCTCCTGCACAGCGGAAACAGCAGCTCAGACAGTACAAACAACTGTCATTTCAATGTAACCATTGAACTACAGCACAAGACATGTATACTATGCAAGCACTACATTTTGCCATGAATGCGTTACCCTTCAGAGAATGA